TTTCTAGAGGCAGACTTTAGGCTGCACTTGCATGCAGATATCTGTCTAAAGACATAAGTTAAAGGTAAATTGTCCGGAGGTAAAGTTCTCGGGTAAATCACAAGAGGAAGATACTAGTCGTACTACAAACAGAGAAAAAGGAAAATTGTAATACCAAAATCTGGTCATGCTTCTGAAGATTATACATAAATGCAAATTCTATACAGATTAGATTAGTCTTAGATAATGACTTCGGCCTTACTACATGGGCTTCATAGTTTCTAGATCTACTGCAAACTACACATTTAGTTAAAAGTAGGGGTGCATCGGTTTAAAAAAAATGTAATCGATAATCGTTTTGTAGTCCACATTTTTGTAAATGTTTCTTGTTGCATTGTGGGTTCTAGGATAGGCCTAATTCAAAACAGAAAAGAAGGAGCACACTCCAAGAGAAATAAAACTTCAGGTGCACGAGCGCAGAAAGAAAATAGATGACAAAGCGCTGATAAAGGCTCTGTGCTGAAACGCGTCCGTTGTTGATCCGTACGCTGCTACCCTAACAAAAATATCCCTTTAATTAACCCCTTTATGAATTCACAATGAACAAAAAGTCCCAAACAAACGAAATGATCTACGAAGGTTCAGTTCAAATTGTCTTTTTCACTTTGCGATTGCCGCTTTACTCTGCCAAACCAATGACGTTTGATCATCCAGGACAGAGCAGCATAACTAGATGTTTTCCTATATTTTGGAATTTTAGATGATTATTTTAAAATCTTTTAATAACTACAAAAAGAAACAAACTTAAAGGGAGAAATAGCTCATAGCGGACGGACAAGCAAGATGGAGCGAGTGTGTCATTATGCACAGATGACAGATGAAACAGACAGACACTTAAATCGTTCACCTGTTCTATTGTAACTTCATTCACCAGAGTAAAGTGTGCTCTACACTGCAGACTTTCCTAACAGAATGTTGCTGTCAAAACAGCTTCAACGTGCCATGAGTGCATTGATGTCTGCACGTCTGCTCGCCACACTCAATGCTCTAATTATAATGAAGTGTTAAAACAGTCATAAGATACGTCTGTGTGAATTTTTGTTTGAGGTTTGCTGTCTGTTGAAGTAAGAAATTTCATATTTGAACGTTAATACAAAGGCCTATTACTTACAATTATTAAAATCCCGAAGATTCAAATTAATCAATAGTTACAGTCGGCATTGCGTCATAGTTGGGGGCGGGGCCTCCCGTGGGGGAAAATAATCACAGAAAAAAAAAGAAATACAAAATGATTACTCGAGTACTCGCTTTAACAATGGGAAGAGTAATCGATTAGAGATCATTTTGCATTTCTGCACCCCTAGTTAAAAGTGATTAAAAACAGACGTAAATCAATTTATTCCTAGGCCTCTGCTGCAATACAGGCTTCTAGAGCACTGGTTCCCAACCTGGGGTCCAGGCCCCCCTCGGGTGAGCACCGGAGCTCAACTTTTCAGCTTTTCTTAAATATAAGTGGGGGGGGGGGCTCCAAGGTAAAAGGGTTGGGAACCACTGTTCTTGAGTATTAGTGCATCTGTGTCCTTTGGTTTTCTTGGAGAAATGAAAAGAGAGAAAAGTCTTCTTAGACCTTGTCAACACTGTGACCAGGCCACGCAGAGAAGTGAGGATCTGCTGCCAGAGATTACAGTGTGCAATGTGATAGGCCCTCACATTTGCTGAGGGTCACGAAGGGCAGAGGCTGCACAGTGCAGTGGCCCAGTCATGGCTCGGTCCACTTGTCAAGCTTGTTGTTGGCTCTAGTATCAGCTGCTCACATGATGCACTATGTCTAATTGTTTTTGACATCAAATTCCTTCTGCCAGGAGAAAAAAACAGGCTTTTGGTTTGGCAAACTGTCTCAGGGTGGAGTTCAGCTTTACATGGACAACACTAAGAGTCAGAACTCTATAAGACCCTGAAAACTGAGAAGGAAAAATGACTTGAATTCAATCATGAGATCATGAGCATCTCAAGCAAATGTGTGAGAAACGTAAGTAGGCTAGAAGCCTGGTGTGGCTGCCAGTTGAGCTGCCAACAACCTGGCCTGGTTCTGTAGAGCAGCTGTGTCACTGCAGGTACACGCACACATGCTCTCTTTTACCAATGGCTAAGGATTAGGGCCTGGCAGATATATTGGTTGGCTCACCAAAGATAAATCTGTATCTGGATAAGGTCGATATGTGAAGACATCTGAGCTTCTTTTTTTTTTGCAGAACTTAATATGAAAAAGAAACGCTGGGGTTGTCTTTGAATTTGTGTATTCACTAAGTACATCAAGCAGAGCATGCACCCACTCCAGCAAACTTACTTTCAATACTGTCTGAAAATCTGGTTGACAATGTATACAAATGTAATATCTTCTTTTATAACAAAGCAACTTTTTGAGTACATCTTCTTAGTCAGATAGATGTAAATATTGACGGCTATATTGGTATACGGTGAATTACTCTATACCAGAATTAATATTAAATATTTATCTTAAAAACATCATATTGGTCCACTTCTGTCCCAAATGCACATAAAAAAGAGCAAATCCTCAAATTGTTTAAGCTTGAACCAGTAAATCATCGGCATACTTGATAAATGATTTCTGACAATAAACAGATATTCAAGATGGTTGACAATATTTTTTTGTCTACTCATTAGCTAACTGTTAAAAAAAAAACTGCATGACAATTTAAATAGTGGTGTCAAACAACCAGGAAACTATAATAATATATTTGATCGGCTGTGCATCCAGCAGACTGACTCCCTGCAGGTCAGGGGCAGCATGAGGTCCTGGAACAGCATGAGCCCAACAAGCAGACACTACAGGCCAGAAAGGCTCTGGCTTGGACTCACTAGATGTCTGCTTGCTGCCTTTGTGTGAAGCCATCTCCTCACATGTACAGTGCCCACAACAATGGCTACAGTATTTGGGGACAATGGTGACGAACTGGATTGTGAAAACATGATTGATAAGTAGGTCATGTCTTGTTGTCACCATGTGAGGCATGAACTCAAACAATCTTGCTCAACTGTATAGGCTTAGTTTATAGCTGTTTCTCTGGGTGTCCTTAACTGTGACATATTAGGTCGATACTAGGACAGGAAGATGAATAACTTATTTTACTGAGAGCCTAGAGAGATTACTTTCTACTCAGTTGAATTATTATAACTTTTTAATACTACATAAAAGGGTCTTGTATTTAAATGTAACTGTTTTAAACCAAATTAAATTTCAAGAAACAGATTCAGGCAATCTACATTTCTTTCACTATGCAAAATCTTTCACAACCACGGTTTTCTTAGTCCATGACTTAAAAAGGTAATTAAAACAGGTTTGTGATCTTTTCCGAACATCGCAGCTCCCTCCTCAGGGACCCTCAAAGGAACTGAAACAGAAGCTGATGCCATAAGCTGGTCCCAAGGGGATGTGGCTGCAAGATTTCAAAAGCATCAACGTCAAGACTGAGCGTACAATTTTGAAGTTATATGATGCATGAGCCTAGAACAATACAAAGCAATAAAAACTTGCAGGATACCATGCACAACAGAAAAGATCATGCTTTTAATTAAAAAAGACTAAGTGGTGGTCAGGAATACTGTTTTATCCTGGGTGAATTAGCCTCAAATGGGCACAAGCAGCTCTAGTATCTCAGTGTTGGGTGTCAACAGGCGACTCCATTGGCTGACAGACTGACAAGTTCTTGTGCTAGCCCAGAGCAAAAAGTTGGGACGGGAACCAGCTCTCCCTCCCAAACTGCTCACCGGCAGCTGATGGAATCTCCTCAGGGGATTCAGCAGCCGCTAAGAGCACCAGCGCTGAGTGTAAGGAGGCAGGGAAAGGAGTGAGGTAAGGCCAGAGGTCCATGAGTCTGTCCAAAATCAAACCAGCAAGGGGAATGTACAAGCTGAGGCAGGCTTGACATACTGTGCTTCATGACCAACCGTGCCAGAAGGATTCAGTACGCTTGCCTGTGGCCAGGCCTTAATACCCACTGTCTGCAGCAATCATGGGTTGGCGGCAAGGAGCCAGCTTCACCACTCTGTCAGCTTTCTGACATGTGGGGAAAAGCAGACACTGTAAAAGGAAACGGCACAATGCATCCAGGAGTGGCATGATCCAAAAATAGAAAACCAATGAAGGAGTTATGTGCAAAGCTAAGTTGAAGATGAAGACGAATTAGTAAAGACAGTCAGACACATTTCGCCACAGAAGCTTTTTTTTTTTTTTTAAGAGCAGTAACTTAAATGTTGTATTTGCCTTGCCATGACTCACTGATGTACAGTGGGTGGGATAAATGGGACTGTGATTTATTTACAGTGCTTTCATGATGTATGTTTACAACAGTTGGACACTAAAGGATGTTTTGATATCGGTGCAAAAAGGTAAATAACATTGTTAACACCACAACTCACCTTACCTGAAACTAACGAGAGTTTGCATTACTAGCAGAGGTTCACAGCTGATGGCCGTCGAAATTAAGGTACTTTCAGTATAAGACAAACTTAAAAGCCACCGAAAGCAAAGTAAAACTTGGTTTCTGAAGATATGGACACACAGGACTGGACGGTTCTTGTCATCATGTTGCGGGACGCAGTCTGTTCAAACTGTAGCAACGCTTTTTTTTTTTTTTGCTAGCAAGCATTTCAGCGCATTTTCGCTATAAATCCTAAACAATATTCTTAACGGGGAAAACACACGCACTGTTAACTCACACACGCACAAGTCGAGTCTATTTTGTCATGACAAACATTGTATTTAGTCTCCGCTAAACCCCACGCTACCATTGGCAAAATGGGAAATGCTAACAAGCCAAGCTAGCTCGCTAGCATGCCCGAGACAAAAGCCTGAATGAAGTTCCTATGGGTGCAAACACCATCCAGGTACCGCTGCTCTGCCTCAAGTGTCCACGCCGGGATTCAAACACAAATACAGGTTTAAAAAATAACCTCGGCAATGTGCGCCTCATGTAGACAGACAAGCCACGAAAGCTTACCCCTCCTGGTCCAGCTTTTCTTTCTTCTGTTCTCTGTTTGAATGGTGTGTTGTTGTAGGAGGGCGTCCTGTTCCGGGGTCACATCCCTCCAGTCGGCAGAGCTCCGGCGAACTGACTCAACGCAGCGAGACCAGCTGTCTGTGCAGTACCGCCGCTGGCCACCGGGGGCCCCGCTAGCCCTGTCTAACTCACTGCAGAATATTGTCTAGAATATATTACAAAATGACATCGCATGAATCTTCAACACATAATTTAAAATAAAACATAAACCTTAGAAGAAAAAAAAAAGGTCTAAAAATTCTAACATTTATTTGGCAGACTCTTCATACACTACTTAAATGATAAATATACTGTAGTATTAGTGTTTTGCTACAAACATCACCTGCATTTCTCAAGGTAAAAGAAAGTTTAGCCTACAATTGAGACATTATTTGCTTCCAACTGAGTCAAATTAATCCACTAAAAAGTCTATCATTGTTATAAAACACATACAGAATAGTTTTTTGCTTAAGAAAAACATTTATCTCATTGTAGTATAGGTTTTTTTGTTGTTGTATTTGAACTCTCTGGGACTTGTAGAGAAGGCCTTAAAACACAGGGGGCTAGTCAACAATGAAAAAGCAAGGGGAATCTGATGGCTTTCTTGATCATCATACTTTATATAACATGTGACTGGGATTATTTCTTGAGTGTGTGTTTTCCTCTAAACAGTGAGTTATATTATTTTATTTTTTATTTATTTTATTTCGTTTTTAAAAATTATAGAACAAAGAAACCCTGACAGGCCAGGATAAAGGCACACAGACAACCATATGCAACAAAACAAAACAAAACATAAACAAACAAACAATGAAAGATAAAAGTGATGGTCTTGTTCTGTGAGGAAGGCACTGAGGACCTAAGCAAACACGCCTCTGATCAGACGCCCAGCTGGACCTCAACAGGACATGACTTGGACAGAGTCATGAAAGGAGAGGGGATGGGGGGTGCCTATTCTAAATTAGCATGGTTACAAAAACTATTTAAAAAAATACAAATTGATCCATATACATACCTATATATTTGCATGTAAAGTCATAAATAAACAAATTTAATTACCACGTATATATTGGTTTCAAAATGTGATATAAAAGTGGTCTATGTGAGAAAAAAGAGAGAAAAGATATACATATACACATACATACTTATGTATTCATAAATATACATAAGTGCATACATACGCATACACATGTACACATAATATACATATCCATAATAACCTCCAGGCCAACTGTACAATTACATTCTGAACCTTTTCCTTAAGCCAGACAGGATAAGGCTCAAAGAATGACCTTGGTCACTGCCCAGATCTTCGAGAAAGGATGCTGCTTGCTCCATAGACAACGATTCCAAGTCTTTAAGCCAGCTGTCCATGTCAAAACAATCTGGCTCTCTTACCTTCCAATTAATCACTATTATCCGTTTGACAGATAGAAAAGCTAATCCAATCAAGTATTGTAATTCTTTTGTGGTTACCCCATCTATCTTATTTCCCAGTACACCCACTTTTGGACTAAATCTTAAGTTTATATATTTAGTATTTTGCACAGAGGATCTTTCACATTGATCCAGAATTTCTGGACCTCTGGACAGTGCCAAAATTGATGCAAGAGTTCCAGTCACCCCACACAACACTGCCAGCACAAATCTGAAACATTACAGTTAATTTTCTTCAATTTGTGTGGGGTTATCTATGACCGCCACAGAATTTTAATTTGGATTATTTTGTATTTTACACATTTTGAGAGGTGATTCGAACGACTCATTATTGCATTCCACTGATCTGTTGTGAGGTGTACACCCAGATCTTTCTCCCATTGTGCTAGCATTGATGTGTTACAATTAGCAAATTAGCATTGACACAGTAATTTGTAGTTTTGAGACAGTTCCTCATGTTGATCTTATGTTGACTCCAAGGTATTTCATGCCTTGTGGCCTCCATGCAACAGGAGTTTGCGACAGATGTCCAGCAAATGTGAGGTTGTAATAGAGGGATAGCAGAGAGAAGCAGTTCTGAAAACAGAATGAAGATAAAGGAAAAGGTCTCCATCAGTGTGTGTTCACACACACGTATTTAGTCAGCTGCACAGATGTGCCTGGCTGCTTATCACAGAGTTGATCTGCTTCTTTTGACTTAAAACAGCAGTGTTCAGCAGAGAGACACAGACAAGACAACTTATATTTTGAGTCTATTCCACTAGCTTTTCAATCTTGTTCCTCTGTAAAGGTACTGAGACTAATACAATAGACAGAAATTGTTTCAAGTGCTATACAAACTGAAAAGCATATCATCTTCCTTGTATGACAAACGGCAAGATATCCAGCATATAAGCAATCAGAAAGCACCATAAAATCAAACCCTTCAACACACTGACATACTTTTTTTTCTTTCATTTTTTTGTGCCTTTATTTGAGAGACAAGACAGTGGATACAGTTGGAAATTGGGGGAGAAAGAGAGAATGGGGAATGACATGCGGGAAAGAAGCCACAAGTGGGATTCTAACCTTGGTCGCCCGCTTCGTACTCGGTACATACAAATTAACCACTCGGCCACCAGCGGCCCCACACTGACACACTATTTTGCACAGCATTGGATATGACAAAGTATAGAGGTGTTTGACACAAGCATGACATGACTTTTTCATGGCACTAAGAACATCAGTTCAACAATGCAATTGAAATTTAACATAACAAAAAATAATTCAGAAAGACACACAAACTTACTGCATCGTCTTTGATAGTAGTTCAGATTCAAACTTTCAAAAGAGATGTGTACCAACTTTTTGTGATATGCATCAACAAGTCTACAGCTCTACAGATTATTATTTTAGTTCTACCTGCTATTTTATTCAACATTTAATCTGATAATTTCACCTGAGATCACTTCATTTTATTTTCTACTTGTTAGTTGTCATCAAGTAAATAGTATGTATGTATAAAAACACAGACAAGAGTGGTATCTAACGGCTCATTCAATTCCAAGCCTCACATCTTTCAATATATTATAAATAATACTATGCTAATGAATTACTTCACTTCAAGGCAACATTATACATAGTTCAACACATCATATTTTAAAAATATTCTTCATGACTTTTTACAAATACTTCTGAGTTCCCAGATTAAATAAAATACACACACAAAAAAAGGAAAATGAGAAAAAACACCATTGCTATGAGGCAGTTAAAATGACAGGAAACAACACAGCAATGGAGGGTTGTAAACTGAGCAAAGGGTTTGAAATGAAACTGCTGCTGCCTTGTTATTGTACTCTGTGACTAAACAGTGTCATCTCTAGTCATCATAAAGTTTGTTTGAAGTTCGCACCCTGTTGAGTGTTGCAGTCGGTGAGCTGAATTTTCAGTCTCTGTTCTTGTTCCATTGACTCGTGACACTTTGCACACGTTTTCAAGTAGCGATTTTAGGAGATGAAAAAAGCAGTTTTTCATTGTTTCCTCTGCAGCCTTCAAGAAAAGGCATTCCATTGTTTAAATGGAGAAGATGAGTGTGTTTAATGTCCTTCTTGAAGAAAATATATGGACTGAAATTATTCTTCAGGATTAAAAGTTGTTTTTGGATGCTCCTATTTAGAGGGGATTTTCCACGGTCAGGCCAGCCAGAGGTAAACATTTGCAGAGCGTCCTTGAATGCCATTAATAAAGGATCATATTTGATCCTGTTTACTTCCTTGGTTCAAATCAATAATTTGTTGTTGCTCCTCAGGTTCCCTTTATTCATTGTTCTTCACGGTCTGTTATCTTTGGCTAAGGAGTGCATCATCCAGTTCACCTTGGTCTTCCAGCTCTCACGCAGAGCTTCGTTGAACTTCACTTTGAAATTCTTCAACGCCTCCTCCTCTGATTTGCCCAACGCTAAAGAGTCCTTTTAAAAATGAGAAAACAAAAACCAACCTTTGTTATCATCCTCATTAACATTTCTGTCATCAGCATGATCAACACCGTCATGTTTACATACCTTTAGATACTGGATGTCTTTGAAGGAGGAGAGCTCTGGCAGTCCTGCTGCCTTCATCATAGCGAAGAGGTTAACAAACAGGGACCAGTTTCGACATAGGATCTTGTAGGCCTGCTCACAGCACTCCCTAAACCTGCAACAACATGGATGCAGTACTAAACCATTTGTAGTAAAAATCCCTGGTCAGCAGATAAGACCGACAAAAAATACCATACCTTTCAAATTTCTCACTGTTATTCGTTTTTCCTTGTTGGATCACATGGACAAAGTCGTAAGTCAAGATGAAAGGCACACGCTCCCTGTTGATCCCCATTTTCCGCTTGAAGTTACCCAGGAAATGCCCAAAGTCAATGTGGAACAGCTGAAGAGCAAAGGTGAAAATGACCTCTGGGTTGTGAATTGGTTCTGCATCACTTATCAGTCACATTTCTTAAAAAATGATTAACTCGTGAGTGACGGATTAAGGGGTTCACACTCAAATGATCTAATCCGACACGAAAACTAATTTGAATGAAATTCATTTCACAACAAATTCACAACTTTCATTAAGATCGGGAGAGTACTTTTTACATAATTAAACATGTTTATTCTAGAATATCAATTCAAGAAACAAGTGTTCTGCAGTCTAGCCGTCCCCTTGAAGCGGATTTCAATGTCATCATAATTTCCTATGATATCAAATATTAGAATACCTGTCCAGTTTCCCTGATCATGATATTGTCGTTGTGACGATCTCCAATGCCCAGGACATAAGTAGCTACACAGTAGCCAGCACAGGACAGTGTGAACTCTTCTATTGCTTTATCAAGTTTGTCACTGGTAGAAAAAAATAGAAACAAGGAAGCAAAGCATGACTGGGTTTGTTCACAAAGTCTATTTACATCTTCTTATCATGGTCACATTATATGCAAAACAACTATTTACACACACATGGCCATGAGGCAGAATTTCTTTACAGCAATATTAAATATTCACAGAAGAGTTCTGGTGCTGGTTGATGATTGACCATCACATCCTTCCCCCGTCTAGACGTGCACAGTGTCTATCTTTTACTAATTTTCTCTGCTCCATTTTGGCTGCTGCAACATTTCAAGCTAATTACCTTTCTGCTCTGTTGTGCACTCAGCTGGGCCTGTCTTGCCAATGTGACGCACAAAGGCTTATTCATTACATTGAATGCTTCTCTCACTTCGAGGAGCTTTCAGAAAAGACAAGACCTTCAGACTGTCTGGCACCAAATAAAAATCTACTCTCATTTAATGTTGCTGATGCTGGAGTTGCCTCTGCACTTTGTGATGCTTGATCATGGTTTTAAAACACTGCACACAATAAATACTTTGAAGACGTAAACATTCAAACATGCACTGACAACAACAAAGACATTCTTAAAGAATCAAAGAGAGGCTTCTGTCAGGCATGGAAACAAATATTTTCTTATTACTGTAGAGAAATAACACCTATGCTCTTTGTTCCAACTGAAGCTACATTATCATGATTAAAATAAAGGAAACACTACAAATGTATGTATGTAAGTTTTGTAATTGCATTGAATTATACTGTTAGCCCATCTTACTAATATTCTTCTGATATAAAACCCATTTTTCTTAAACAACCGTAAAAAAAATGTCAAATGTTCTTACATCTGTGTATCGCTACCGTGCAAAGTTTGTGTTCCTAACGCTACGGATATGTTTGTAAAAAACAGAGCCAGTGGTTGTGATACATTTCACACTATGACTGTGTTTTAGTTTCAAAATATACCCAAATACTTTAAGTGCTATGAGATGCACTCGGCAACATCAAACGACGTAGTTAGCTCACTATTTAGAATAAACAGAAAATCAAACGACTAGACACTGCCTTGAGAGACCTCAGTTAAAAATACAACTTAGGAGTAATCTTATTTTTAATTGAATACGGTTAAAGGCAGGACATGCAAAGTGTTTTATTACTGCAGATTTAATACTTTACTTGTGTTTAATAAAAAATCTACGGAGCTGTTGTATCAACTGCTGCTAGTTCTAATATTTCAAGTGTGCAATGTCACACTCGACAAATAAAATCCAACAACTCTGCACTTGGGATCCCGCTACCAGGAGTTGGGAAAAGTTGCTTGTGAAAAGGTTAGTTGGTTGGTTTTGCTCTACCAGTACTTGGGTCCTGGTGCTAAACAGGGCCATCATTTAAAAAGAGATCAAATCTTTTTCTACACAGTAGAAGATGTCTTTTAAATTGTCCAATAGTAACCTTTAATGTCAAAGTGTTTCACCATACTCACTCAGGATTCTTTGATTTGAGCCAGTTAAGCAGAGCGTCCTTGTTGAAGGCAGCGGTGGCGGCACTGTTGCTGCTGTTTCTCTGGATATTTGCGATGGTGTCTGAGTGCTTTACTGCCTCGATGAGCCCCATCTTGTTCCCAGTGGACAAGCAGCCGTATGGGATCATCCTTTTGAGTGAAGGGGGAAATGATCATTATAGGCTGAGGAACTGCTTGAGTAAAAGAAAAAAGAAAAGGTCCTGCAAACAACATCACCCACTGTACCTGAGATCCAGGCCTTCTTTCTTCCATAAGTTCTCCATTAGCTGGATCATCTGGAGGGTCAGCATGTCTTGCCGAAGATCTAAAGGTCAAGGTGGAAGTATAAAACATTTCATTGTCAGAGCAGAAGTGATGAAACAGGTTCTATTTCATGTTATCTTAACATTTACATTTTGGGGAAGCATTCTTCACAACCTGCATGGTATGCTTAACTTTCTGTTGCAATACCCTTTATTCATACCATTTGTCGTGTTTATTTTGTGTCCGCATGTGGCTACGTGTTTATATTGTCTTGTATCTCACCATCTCCGTTCTTGAAGATGATGCCCACCATGTCTCCTTGAATGCAGGGGTTCTTATACATCAACCACAGCGGCTTCATCTTGGAGTCCATAAACCGGCACTTATCTGCACTGCAAAGGAGAAAAACACACGTATCTTCAACAAAAGATTCTCGTAAGTGTGCAAGGTTCATAGACTAAAGAACAAAACACTTGGAAGTTGAGAAAGGCTTTGGTGTTTTTCAGGTTTTCCCCCATTGTTGTTTTAACCTGTTTTATATTATAATGTACATCAGTCAGTGTTGTCCCTCCTGAGCCACTGTAAGAAATGGGGAAATGTTGTTGGAGGAACACAAACTAAAACCCAAAATAAATTAAAAATGCACTTTAAGGATGTGAATAAGAACAAAAACTTTAAACTTAAAGGGATTGATCAATGTGAGGTAATAGTAAAATGGCATACAGTATTGTTTATTACAAAAAAAGGTCTGCTGGGGCTGTACAACTAAAGGTTAAATTGTCAATATACTACATAAATGCATTATTTTGTCATGCAGTAAGCCCAGAAAGGGACCAAACTCAACCTGAAAATACAATTATGGAGTCAAAAATGCAATTTGTGTTTGTGTGTGTGTCTGGCACTGACCAGATCTCAGCGAGAATGATGCTGGGGTTGAGCGGTGACAGCAGGTCTGACAGGGCCTCCAGGTAGGATTCCTGTCTGATGCACAGCTTCAGGTCATCCACTGTCATCTTCTGGGAACCCGACTTTACAAAGTCACTCAGTGCTTTCATTTTGCCCAGAGCCTCGTTCTGTGCGGCGCGGGTAAGGCAGAGGCAGACGTTTAGTACAAATTAAAAAACACTTACTTAGAGTATATGCTGTAGGTCTATGAGATTACCTGTTTGGTTAAGAGCTTGATGTGGTGGATGTTCCCCCGGCAGTAGGCCTCCAAAATCAGGCCAAAACGTAAACTCACAGACGCCACATGAATCTCAGACCTTCAACAAACCCAAATTCATCAGTCAGACAATAGATTTCTAGATAAACGTGATATCTTGGTTAGTCTGCTGGACTATGTCTCACCTGAGATGCCAAAACAGAAAGTGTCCTATCCTTCCTGTTGGAGAGAGCCCTCTCCAGTAGGAAAGTGGTGAGGTCACAGTAGAGATAGGACTCATACTTCAGGACCTGGACCAGCTGGATTAAGTACTGCAGCAGTTCATTATCACTGTGCAGAAAACAAATGTTACAAAAAGGCTTTTAAACTTGAAGAAGAAATTTGTAAAAGCAATGAAAATGGATGTGTGTGTACCTAAGCTTCCTGAGGCATCTGATGGTAAAAGAACGGACCACTGGGTCAGGAAAACTGTAGTCTAAGAGCTCCAAGGCATGGATGGCAGGGAGGTCGGGCCAGTTCCTCAGTAGACTCACCATCTGCGGAGAATCAAAAGAGAATTTTCTACTACAGTGGCAATAATTCGAACTCTAAAATACAGGTCAAAAATTAATCTTCACATGAGATCTGAGTGTTTCGGTTCAATGTATTTTCACATTTTCAAGACCTTTACTGGTTGGTAGAGTTGCAAAGATGAATTAGCATTTACTTTGATAATCGCTTTTTGTTTTGATCATTTATTGGGCAAACACACAGAGATATAATGTCGATCTTCTCTTGTTTGTAACTTTACTAACTAAATGTCATTGTGTTTGTGAGTGTTAATTGGACATGATAAGTAATTTGCAGACTTTCAACTTGACTGTAGAAAATGTAATAAGCATTTTATGTTTTTACTTGTGCTAGCGTCGTAGCTTGATCACTATTCTTGCTCTGTTCGGTACATGCTTTTATGATTGGGCTAAATTCCCCTGGTTGACATTTTTTTGGTTCAGTATGAAATGTCTCATCAACTATTGGGTTACCAGGTAAACATTTTATTCTGCCCAACACTTTGGTTTATGGCCAAATACCTGCCAGGCTAACAACAAAAGCCAAATGTTAGCAGGCAGATTGTAAAGCTAATAATCTTTGAGAATTGTCTGCTGAACATTAAAAATGCTCGTAATGTCACCAAGGGAATGTTAGCATGCTAACATTAGCATTTTGCTCAGAACACTAGCATGACTGTACAAAGTTGGTCTTGTTACCTTTTACAGACTATATTAATAGATGTATTTATCTTGATTTTAGCTACATTAAGTGTTGTAAAAAATATATTTAGCAACAGCCTTACTGGTCTGATAATTCACTATAACATACACTGATGGTGGTTAGCCAGTAAAGAAAAAAAATCAAGCGAGAATAATCACATACTTAAGAAAAATGGACAAAATTAGTTTTTCTTTATATTTTGAGAACTTAAATCTATTTTGGACACATATTTTGGGCTTGGCAAACATTCCAGACCTATAAACACACCTGATAAAAAATATGGATCATAGTAGAGAAATCCAGGATAAATACCTGGACTACGTCCTCATGCTTATTCCACTTGGTTATAAGGAGTAGCTTGGAGAGACTGTCGGGGAAACAATCACGGACTTCTGCACGAAGCTTCCACAAGATCTCCTTCTCGTCCTCGAAAAACTCGGTGTAGTTTTTGTTATCCATGATTTCTTTTAATTTCATGTACTACAGAAAGCAAACACACATAGTTACATATAGATACATAAAAGTGGTCAGCAAGAAACAGGCTCTGAAATTATAAAGTCTTACCTCTTCTTTGGCGATAAAATTTCCATCCTCATTATTCTCATTGTCACTTATCTGAAAACAGGTGAGGATTACTTTGACTGACTTTAAAAAAATAAAAAAGTCTAAATCTCAGCAAGTAGTCATCTATAGCCTCTTGAAAATAAATACCTTGTCAAGTGGAGGGTAATAGAGAGGATGTGGGCGGATGTTGTGGAAGCGGATGAGCAGCACTGCAGCGCTGTCCACATTTGGGTTCTTCTCCACAGTTCCCATCGGATTCAACAAGTCACCTTTGTCATCTGGGGGGGAAAAATCATGAATTATGCCACTTGGTAAATGTTTCAATCAACTTAGTGAGTGCGTTTTCACCTTCAAATCTCTCCTGTATTAATGTGACAGTGAGTCAACAGATAGTGGCTACAGCCTCAGAGATTAAACACATAACTCACATTTTTACACAAACAAACATTTGACAAGTCAAGTGACTAGCTTGTGAATCAGCCCACACATAATGTGTTGGGTTTTGATGGCACCACATGACATTGTGTGTATTTCAGCCCTCTGCATTCTGTCAGGCGTTGTGGAGGAAGCTGTTAACATGGGAGGTGTTAGAAGAGGGGGAGATGTAAGAAGAAGCAAGGCTGAAAGTACCAGGAACAGATGGCCATGTGGACAGGAGGACCTCCCCAGTCTTTAGCTGGTCCTTGTAGTCGAACACCATAGTATTCACCCAGGCTATCGGACAGTCCTGAAGAGAGGGACAGAATAATAGCAATAAGTAAGGTCTTTTACCTGCTTTTTGTAACATAACAATGAGTATGGTCTTTGTACCTGCTCTTTTGTAATGTTAAAAGACAAAGAGTAAGGTCTTTTACCTGCTTTTTGTAAAGTGTCTCGAGATAACACTTATGAGTTATGAGTTGACGCTATACAAATAAAAATTGATTGATTGATTGATAATGTTTGTTGAAATGCTTTTTGAAGCACCTGCAAGCAGCAAAATCATGTCAAAAGAAATGCAAAAGTGGGGCACATTGATAGTACTCTTGTTTTCAAATTAAGTGTACTAAGGTTTGATCAGTAACATAAAAAAAGTAATCTAGTAATTTATCTGACATAGGTATGAGGTTAAACTGTAAAGCAGCAAGAATGGAAATAACATCTCGGCAGAAGTCCACTGAGTATGTTATTGATGAAACAAACAAAACTAGACTGAATGAACCCAGCTAAAAATAAGTGGCGTGCACACAAACAAGTGCAAGTAGAGCTGAACTTTCCTCAGTCTTCCTGGCGTCTGTCTGCAGGGCTTCTCTTCCAGACAAAAGAAGAGAGAAGTTGCTCAGAAAGCAGAAGTGGCCTTGATGCCCAGAAACCCACCTGTTTGATATGTTAAGACTTCTTAAATGTGTCAGCCCTCAGCCGCTGCAATTGTTCAAAACAAGAGGCCGCAGAGTAAAGGGGAAACACGATGTTGTTTACTGTACTTGATACTGTACAGAGAATGGTTGTTCAAAGAGTTATTTTCAGTGTTGCTGCTTCTGGCTGTTCATTTCACACGCTTCTTTTTTTAAACACATGTGAATAGTAAGAGCAATGTACAACTTGTCATGTTATGTCATGTAACTAATAGTAGTATGTAGAAGCAAATGTTCATTATTTAATTTATTAATTTTAATAGGAGAGAAATAATCAGTAACTAACAATAATCTAACAATATTCTTATATTGTTTTTTTTTTTTTTTACGTAGTCGATGAAATGCTAAACAATTGTTTAAATGTCATTCCTGGAAGTAATATCTCCAAACTGCCTTGTTTGTAAACTTACAGTCTCAAGTCTAAATAATTATTATTTTTATAATGATATAAAACGTTTATTTTAAAATGTATAAAAAAAGCTAAAAAGCTCCAAATACTCAAATCTGAGAAGCTGGAACCTGGAATATTTGACATTTTTGCATCAAAACATTTTGGTTGGTTCAATATAAACTGCTTGTGCATCAATATTCTGTAGATCTGCATATCAAATCAGTTATGTACTTTGTGTTGTGTTTTAAATGAGTTTTTAATGTAAGTTGTGTTTATTGTTTGAGCCTTGTCAAAAAGGGGATTTTTGTCAGTGTTGGGACAGACAGTAAAGTTGAACTAATCTAATCTTATCTCATCTAATATTCTCAATTTTGTAAAAGTAATAATTGTGTAACTGTCAGTTGGAGTTTGTTAAAATTAGTGTCTTCTGCTGGCTCTCTAAGTCTATGTCGTTGTCCGGTGAATTTTACACACACAACAAAAAAAAAAACAGACATTATCTTAGCCTGTACCGCCTTAATCCCGCATAGATCATCTTTTCTGATCCAGAGCATTTTGTTCAGGGCTTTTTTTTTTTATTTGTCTGAAAATCATCTGCCTTCCTTTCAAATCTTTCAAAAAATATATTTTCCACACAGATGTACTTACTGTATGAAGATAACACAGTCTTTACAAGTCAAGAGTTCAATCTACATACCTGCGTCTAAATAGTGCACTAAAAGAAGAATTTCAAAGGAAAGCAGAACAACAATTAAACCATGGATTTAGACACCAATAGTCAAAAGAAGAGGAAATGTGCCTTTACTGTAAAGTTTCCAGAATAAAGGCTTGAATGAAAGGACTATATTCTAAGGTAAAACACTATGAGGTTATGAATTCTGAAAAAATGTATGGCAACTGTGAAGATGAATTTAGAATTCCTTGAAAATGTTTGCCATGTCCTTCCTTCCTTTTTTGGGGTGAAAAAGATAAAAGAGCTGTACTCCATCCACAGATAAAAGAGCTGAAGTGGATGACAAGTTAACCGCAGTCTTGCCACTGAACAAACTTGCACAACACAGCCACACAGCACACACTACACGCTAGAGAGGAAATAGATATGTTTGTGCTTGCCAACATCTTACCATCCACCAGCCCAAACACTTGCCTGATCAAAAAACAAATTTTACACTATGGCCCAAAACAACACTTCGGATGGACTCACAGCTTTCTTATTCTTCTTCTTGGTGCCGCGGGGTTTCTTGGCTTTCTCAATGACAGCGTAGAGCGCAAAGCACAGACGGCTCATGCGAGGCAGGTCGGCCACGTTAATGTCGAACTCCAACTTTTGGTCCCACAGAGGCTCAGATGACACTGCCACCTCTGAGCTTGTCACCACCTTACAGAGCAGTTCGCTGCCATGGAACAAGCCGGCCTGCACTACGAGCTAGAGGGGAAACACACACATACACAGGAGTGCTTAGATGGGGGAATGACATGTGGTTAGAAAAGCTGAAAGGGTTTAACACTTGTCTGAGGGAGAATGTTTATGAAAGATTTACAGACATCACAAAATGATTCACAGGTTCATGTGTCAATCAAGGTGTGAGTCAAAGGGTCTGCACATTCATTTCCTACTGTGAGAAGGTAGCAGTCTCTTTTGATGCTATTCACAGTCAGTCAAAAATTTTAACCAATCATAAGAATGAAACTGCAATAAGCTGCAAACAAAATAACACTCTTGCCTTTTAGCAAATAAAGATAGTCTGAATCTATATAAACATATGACTTGCTGTTTCCCCCAAGGGTTTGGTTACAAACATTTGCCTGCCAAATGCAGAAATGATAATTATGTGACAGGACAAAAAAGGACATGATGTAGGAAGCCACAATAAGTGGACTTAATCATCCATCTAAATAGTAACATGGTTAGTTATGCAGGTGTATTCAAAACAAGGCCACAGAATTAATTTGTGTATGTGTGCTCTCTGGTTTCTTGTTTGTCAACTTAGTGAGAAAAAAAATAGGCCTTTGAAAAAACCTGAATATCTGTATAAAGTATTATTGGATCTTTTTCTGTACACTTTTGCCCATATTTAAGGACATGTTTCAATTTGAACTGCCACCAATGTCAAATTTCAACATATGTGAAAGCGTGTTTACTATAGTAACAGAATACATGCATAGCCTACAAAAAAAGACGTGCACCGAAAGCGAGAAAGGGAGCAACATGAGCATGAAGTCTGCGTTCTTTCTTAGAAAATAGGCCTCAGAGTGAGACATACAAATCAGATAGGCCCTCCCCACTTCCTGTTTTGAAGTTGTAACCAACCGCCTTGTTGAATTATGGGAAACGGTGGTTTTAGACCATGTGACCCTCCTGTCATTTACATGTCCGCCCTGCTGAACTTACAACTGAAACTGAGTTACTGTTAAACAAGTGAATGCCACTATTAATTAAGCTGCAAAGTAAGAGAAACACACCAACCTTCATTCCTTCATCTGCGTTGACTCGGCTGCCCTGAAGCAGGTGAATGCAGAATGGCTCATTGATGGACCACAGCGAAGACGTTTTCTGCTGCAGAAAGAAGGGATGACATTTATTTTCTTTGTCTCTCACTTTTGTTGAAACTGAACTCACTGCATTCACTGAAGTAGTAGGTGATGAAACTGTTGCTACAATTTCCTGCCAAAATACAGACACACAACTCACAGTTTCAAAATATAGTAAAAAAGGGGAACAAACTTTAACCTGAAAGAAAACAGGGGGAAAAAAGCTCCCAAAGGTGCTTCGATCAAATTTGCAAAAAAAAAAATGTCTCATACTTCTATGTCTGTTTTATTTTTTTTATTTGTGCGAATCACTTAAATAAAAGCTCAAATACACATTAACTTTAATTTTGCCAGCACAGTCTCAAAGTTAATATATGCTTTATTGAGGTTGTCAACATTTAGGCTAATTTGATACTTTGTCGACACTACATGTTTTAAAATGATACCATCTCAGTTGTTTTAATGATAGATATCAAAATGTAGTGAAGCTTTAAAAAAATACGCACAGATCTTCGGCCACATTTGAACTAAAAGTTGCCGCGATCCAAAGAGAGAGCATGCTCTAGACCCCGAGTTCCCACTCGATATGTAGGGAGGGGGGGCTCTGAGGTTGTCAATATTATTAAAACAATACCAGGATTTTTTTACAAAGGCGTTTTGGTAAGAACAGGATTGTAGTCAAATTCTGTTATCAATAAAAACAATTTAAATGTATATTAATTTATGAAAGCAATGTATCATTTCATGTATCATTTCCTGTGTGTCCTGGGGGGCTCAGCTTTTCTTACACACAAGTGAGGGGGTTAAAAGGAAAAAAGGTTGGGAACGACTGTTCTAAATTACAGAAATATCTCAATACGGAAACGCTGATGATGCATTTGTGCCATTTTGCTTCCAATTTTTGGTTATAAAAAAACAAGAAATTAGCCACTATTGGGTCCCAAGGACAAGTATGTATTAAGGACAATATAGTATTTGTGCTGCTGAGGTAATGAAACAGGTAAAGATATAATTTGTTTTTACTGGTATCATATCTAAGTTTAAATCGCATAAGTAAGTACCATCTCAAATTCAATGTTCAATGTTAAACTTGAAACGGTGTCAAGTGTAAATTATCAACATCGTTTGGCACAGCATGTTTCAACAGTGCCAAAGTCCACAGCTGTTTGGTTGAGGAACAACTGTAATGAAGAGGAAGGAAAAAACGGATGGCTCTGTTAATAAAATACATGCAGCCGTCCGCTAACCTCTCACCTTCTTCAGGGGCAGTGGAGGAGGTCTGGACGAGGAGCGACTCTTAAACACCTGGTTGCACATTCTGCCCTGCTCGTCCTGATATTTGCTGATAGTGGAGTAGTGCACCATGGTTAGATGAGGGTTTTGGCCATTTCTCAAACACCAGAAAATGTACTGGGGGGGGGAAGATGGAGACACACACACACACACACACACACACACACAAGAGGGGTTTTACTGGTACAAGCATCAGTCGGTTCACCCACACATATTTCCCAGTGTTCTGATAGCGCTGGCTAGTTAACTCTATTAACTTATGGGCTGTTCATTTGCTGTAGGTTAATGCAGCTGAAATCTCATAATGTGTGGCTGGGTTCAGTTCCTTTCTGCAAGGAGCTATACTGATATGAGTAACCCTGCAGTAGGCTGGAGTTTCATAATCAACAGTGGGGTCTCCTGTCACCAAAGCTTTGACTCATCCAATCCTGACATGACAATCACTGAAGCTATAATGAAATTCAAAGTAAGAAAGCAGACAGATAACAGAGAAATAGGTTATCCACAAATATCGAGAAATGTTTGACCGCCAAGCAGTTCATGTTGTGTTTTTTCACTTGTAAATTGACACAGTGTCACAGATCAACAGACAAGAAATGTTTAAGGTGATAAAGAAATGTATTTTGATTAAGTACAATTAATCTAAAACTATGTTTTAACAGTTGTTTTTCATAACTGAGGGAATGATGATAGAATATGTTGTAAATGGGACAGATTTGGAAATGATACTCAGGGCAGTTAATATAAAAGACAATTTTTAGACACACCGAAATCTGTATCCCCATATTAAGTGTAAACATAATGAGCTTTTAAGAAGCTCGGGCCGCTAAGAAGAAGACAAGAGCAGCTAGTCAAATTGTCCAACTGCTTTGTGAGTCACAGCTAAACAGCAAAACAGAGAAACTGTTGGAAAAAGTCACATTTGGCGTGTGGGAGACTCTGAAACTCAGTGGACGAAGATTTTCTGGTCTAATGAGACCACAATTTTGCTTTTCATACTTGAGATCATACTAATCACTGTTGAGTAGAACCGAAACAGTAAACATCTGCCAAAACACACCATCACAGCTATGAAGCATCATGTTGTTTGGATGCAGGCCTTGGCGGCTGGTTGGGGTAACGGCAAAATGAATGCAGTAAAATACAAAAAAACAACGAGAGACTAAACGGCTTCAACTGATCCTTGAAAAAGGACAGCACTCCAACAGCACTCCGAATATAAAGACAGAAGCTAAACTGTGATAGCTTCAAAAAATGCTAATTTCCAAATCCAGAAATTGTTGAATGACCTAAGATTGGCTCTAGGTTTCACTATTCCATACAAACTAACTGTGTTTAAGTGTCGTATGTAAGATAAACAGGGTCAAATTAAAGTGTCCAAAAGTCTAAAATAATACATTTTATACATACTGAGTTAAGTCACTAACTGCAGCCCCATTTTTATGTTCAAGTGGATGGATTAACGAAACAATCAAACATGCTGTCTTCCAACCCAAAACATTTTTCCTCAGAGGTTATGTTGTTGAGATGACTCACTTTAAACTGGGACAGAGGGTGTTTCCCATAGATGAAATCCCACCTCCCGTTGACCTGTAGGGTGTAGTCCTCGGGCTCCTGTCGCAATGAACGAAACACTGTGGCCTTCTTCTTCAAGGCGCTCTTCATCAGTGCTGCAGGGGGGTCCTGAGGGTCCTGCTGCAGCATGAAGCTTTCCTAAGGAGAGTCAGTGACATCTTCCCCAAATTAAAAGGCGCCAAATTTACAGAAAACGTTTACAAAATACGGTTTTCATGTCTAAAGATCTTGTTCCCAAGGAACATTTTCAAAAAAGGTGATTGAGATGACAGAGGGGGATTTCCACATGTGCTCATGTTTACTTGATGCCATCCTCCAAAATCTGTAAACTCAAGGTGGAACCACAGTTTTTCCCAAATTCCAAAATGCTGCTAAGTCAAACTATAACATTGGATTATTATTGTCTAATCAACTTTTCTCATCAACCTCGAAATACATGACTTGTAAAAATGACAACAGATTGACTCACATCACAAGCCTCAAATTTGACATTGATGAAAATCTTCTTGGAACTTTTTGACTTGGCGCTTGTCGGTGGAGAGCAGCATGGCTCCAGGTCACACGGGAAGCTGTACTCCATCCACTGCTGCCATGGCAACAACTGCCGCTCCTGAGCCTTCTCTTCACAAAACGTACGCATCTTAGTCCGAAACTCGTCCACTTCTTGGTTCTTCTGGGCCTCAAACTCGTGCAGACCTAAAAAATTACAGCGAGTTAAATCATACATTAAAGTGGTTACTGTGTATTTTTGAAGTGGGGTTGTATGACGTACAACTCAACAACTTTAATGAGAGACCGGCAGGAGAGACAGCACAAAAGCTAAGCTACATGGCGATGCAGACGGGGATGTTTGCTCCACGTCATTTAGCTAATCTGAAGAAAAACTAGCTCAGTATTTTTAATTAACCCTTTACTGACTTAACAACAATACCAACTAACAAAAGCTTGGTTCTCCATAGCTTGGTTGGGCCACCAGTATCATACGAGGTCTTTCAGAAGAATTTTGCTGACCTTTGCCAATTAACAAGCTGATTTGTGTGTTGGTGAGTTTCTCCACTCTATCGCCTTCCCTTGCCACCAGCCTTAGAACACACATGAAGGGCCGCACGTCACTTATACGCCTCGATTCCTCCTCCAGTTCCTCCCTCTCTGCCGTCTGGTTGATGCAGGTAAAGACGTATGCATCAGGGTCCCCCAGGGCCCCGAACAAGGCCTCACTTCTGGCATTTTTCCAAACCATCTGAGACAACAGAGACACATGATATTTAGATCTCAGTTTGTATGAGCACAGAGCGTAACCTAAAGTCGACAGTGTGTTCTGTCTGTAGAGGAAATGTATGATGATGATGTCGTTATTATTTTACATTTTCAATACACTGAATGATAACACATTATGCCAAAAATGACCCTGGCAGTTTTTGAATATTCTCTAATATTCTTTGTGAATTAACTCTGTTGCAAAGGCACGTAATCTCTTAATCATTGTAACAGCTTCCAAGAGTATCCTTATTTAACAGCTAAATCAAACAACCTGGAGTGGCAGAACTGTTGGCATAGAAACAGCACATTCATATTAAACAGCAGATCTGATCCGGTGGAGAGCTGGCTTCATGTACCAAGGAGGAAAGCTGCAGCTCTTTCGGTAACAGTTGCATCAAAACTCTGAGGTGCATCAGAAGCACAAGAAATCATTGTTTGTAATGTTTTAATTACTTTAATGTCTGAAGGAAATATTAAGTCATCCAATTTGCTTAAAAGCATATTGAGTAAATATTATAAATAACAACAGTGCATCGGAACAGAGCTCCCCAGAAGCCCAGTGCCGGGTTGCAGTCAATCAATTGCAATCTTTTAGGAATACAGTTTTATTCTAATAAATATAAAATGCATTGTATGACAGCATAAAACATCAGATATTTACATGTTACATCAAAGCTTTTCTGATAGGCAAACGTACTTTTTTGATGATTGAAATTGTGTTGTTTCGTGATACAGGGAATTTGAGGAAGATCCCCGTAGGCAACAGGAAGTCCATCATGATCTCCTGGTCCCCCTCCTTCTCCCACTCCTCCTGCATCCCATACTTCCCCGGGGGCATGGTGACAGCCTCTCATTTACCGTCAGCTCCTCTTCTGCTGCTCACCGAAACACAAGCCGGCCATCCACACACACACACACACACACACACACACACACACACACACACACACACACAAATATACACACAAACAGGAAACACAGGTCAATTTGTCCAATATTAACATGTACGTGGGCCCTGTGTTTAGTGTTGAAACACACTGATGACTGTTTCCTAAAAACCCTGGATGACTTATCTTTACAAGGGTTTTCATTTAAAATCAGAACACGTATGCCAAGTTTGTAACACAAAAAAATGAATGACACAGTGACTGAACAACAGCAGCCTGAAGTAGGGTTGTCACTATGCCAGAAATTTAGACTTTGATAAGATACTAGTTAAAATCAAGACTTTTTTTTGGATACAACAGGCACTAAAATAGCAGTTGGCACAAATACTGAGTAATTTCTTAATTTAATGTAGCAAACTCTTAAACAGTGTCTATATTGCGCAATTGCATAGGCAGGATGTAATGGCAACATGTTTATTTTTGCAAGGAAGACCGTGTTTTCTCTTACTTTTGTGGCTACTTTTGTATGACTAAAGATCTGCAGTATTGTAATACTATTCATCATTATTATGGTATCATTTTTAAACCCGGGGGTTTCTAAAAGTATCAAAGTATCAGACATTTTGACCTTAGCCTCCCTGTAGTTTAAGGCACCAGTGTAGCTTTATACATAAAAACGTTAAATAAAAAAACAATTCAATAATTTTAAAGTAGGCTATAAAATAGTAAACATAGCAATAGCTTTACAGATTTCTTTTTAGAGTCTATGATTTGTAGTTTAGTGTACACAAAGTGCATAACCACCTTAACAGATATTGTGAGAAAGCAGCACACAGAGGTCAAATAAGGTGAAGAAACCTGATAAACTTAAACTGACTGATACACACTGCAAAATGTTTTGCCCTCTACTGCTATTCTAGTCAAATGACTGTGCAAAATGAAAACGCTGTATTTGAAATGCTATTGTAAATGACCTGCCATTGAAGTAATTCTACGCCCTGCCAATGGTTTTGAAAGAGAAAACTTGTACTGTGTTAGCTCAATTGTGTGCCTAAAAAAAACATACATTTATGTCAGTGATTCTTTTTTTACAATGTGCATGAACCGGCACTGCAAGGAATTACAAATGAAAAGCCAGACACAGTGAAGGAAACAGAAGGTGAATCTCCAGCTACAGTCAGAGGAGTAATATTCTGCTCTCCGTGTACAACTTGACAGATATTGTCTTTCAAAACGAGCGCAACATGTTAGCTTTACACTTGCCTGTGAGCTCTACAAGTCCTCGGTCATCTCTTCATGGTGTTTGTCTTACAGCGAAGATGGAGGCTGTAATATCCCAAATGACATGTCTCAGTCAGGCAAGCTGCAGGTCAGTCCGTGAGCTGGAGGGGGGGGCGGGAGGTGGGGGGGTTGTAAATCCAGCTCAGTTGCTCGTACGGCTCATGAGAATCAGTGAAGAGTTTCCTCTGTGTTGGTTAACTGCGCTGTCATTCATACAGAGATGTAGGAGCACCGCACCGTGCTGTACCGAACTGACTGACGGCTGCGCGCGCCAAGGGACCGTCCGAAAAAAAATTCTGCTCGCGTGAAGTGAAAGTGTTTTGTTCTTACTTCCGCCTCCTGTGCCATAAAACAATAACACAGGCCTACTTGTTTATTGGAAGTTCTTTGTATTTAATAATTTTTTAAGGCTTCATTTTGTGGGTTAAAAAAACGCTGAATTAATTTTAATTAATCAATTAGCTGGTTGACAATAAATTAATTGGTAGTTTATTTAAACATTTGTTTGGTCAATTTATTTTGCTCTAATCAAAAATGTAAAAGATAGCCATTTCCATAGCCCACTCCGCTGTGAGTATAGCCTATTAAATGAGCTCACGGTTGTTGTTTTTTTATTAATGAATGTATTCATTTTTCTTGCAAAACACAACGAAAATAAACAAGTCATAACTTTTGGCTTTTAAACTTTTTATTTTTGTTTTCGGTTGTGTTCAATTGGAAGTACTTAAATCTTGTGAATAAAAGTAGCCTAGCTTATCACAATGTAAGAGAAAACTCTTATAAAAGTAAATAAAAGTTTTCTAAATGTAAAAATCTTTAGAAAAATCTTGAAGTTCTGCGTGCTTTAAGTATTAAACGTAAAAAAAAATATTTTATTTCCTATTAAAAGACAATGATCCCTGAGCACACTTAGCGTACACATTGAACTTTCTTAACCCCTATCTAACTTACAGGAATTTTGAAAACCAGGAGACCTCACTGCTCTATTTTGAAAGTTGTGAAACTTGCAAATGGTTATAGGAAACAGAAGAAGAAGTATCTACTGTATTTCTGTCACTGCATATAAAATATTGTCGGTAAAACAATGAATAAATAGTCCGTTAAACTTTTTTCTTCTATTCTGACCAACATTACAAATTAAGGAGAAATGTTGCAAAGATAATTTACCTCAACCCCTATGTAGGCTACTTAGTGACAACTAGACATACTTGTTCAGTATTTAATAATCCATTTGATGCCATTAATACTATAATTCAACTATAGAAAACATTGTTTAGAACCGTGAATGCATTTATTTAAGTATATGTCTGAGAACTGTTGTTTCTGGGTGATGCCCTTTTCACTCAGGAAAGTCCAGCCTTTTGAAAGGTTAGAGTTTCTTGGTCTATATTTATAAAGGAGACAGGTCAGTTTAGCATACACAAATCATGTTGATGTTTTTAAAGTTATGCAAACCGTCAACAGACAGTCGGCTATGAATAAAGATGAGCTATATACATTTGATTAAATTATTCAAAATTCAAACAATAAAACAAATAAGTTATACATATATACTTTTTGTGTGTGTGTTTGAGTTGGTTGATCTTTCGTGGGAACCAGGAGTCTTGGTGGTCTTAATCTCTAAACACTCTAGTTTCTTGTTGAATGCCATCTTAAACAGTACTACCACCATGAGATCTGGCAAACTCAGTTCATGTGGGTTATAAAAAAACCAATATGTGTTTGTGACTGCAGTGAAGCCCAGCTGGTAAAAACAGGAAGTGATTGTGGAGAAGAGAAACTTTCGGCCAGAGCTGCAGACAAAAAAAAGTTTGAACCTGTTTCGCAGCGTTCACAACTGAACAAACAAACAATTATCCACAACAAAACCCAGTCAGTAAACACATCCCAGTTTAAAACAAGTCAGTTTTATCTTTTAAAAATCATTGCATCATGTATTCAGAACTAAACTTACCTGCTCCCTCAATGAGAAGACAACGGCATTGGCTACAGTTCATATTCAAATGCATTCATTTTGATTTCCCTCCATATCTAAAACAGTTCATGGTTCTTTTCTCCTAATTTCATCCACTAAGCCACTCCTCCCAGCTCCTTTTTTTCAGTTCCAGCAGTCTCAAAAGCAACAGCCAAGAAAGCCTTCATATTTAAAGCTCCTTCAGATTGGAATAGTTTACCAGTTAATATTCGGTCCATTTCATCTCTCCAACTGTTCAAAAATGCCTTGTCTTCTTATTTCAGAACAATTTGCAACTTTCCAAGATAACACCGCTTCATCATCAAAATATTATTATGAAGTTTGTGTTAATATCTCACTGTCTTTGCTTATGACCTGTGAGTGGTCAATCCACTCCATCTTATGTTCTGCCTTGAGCAGGTTTCCCGGATCATGGATACCTTATCATTATTTGACATTAATCACTTTTTTCACGTTTTTTTCTTTCTTGTCTTGTTCTTTCAAACGTCCTGTCTACTTTAGTCTGTGCACTGTACATTTCTGTACTCTCGGACCCCCTCAAAAACGAGATGACACATCTCAAGGGGGTTATTCCTAATAAAGAATTTAAAACAAAAATAGTATAACTACTAGCTTTCAACAGCAACTCAAATATTCCCCAACATTGTGAATGTAGCCTACAGAGTGTGGATCAATAACAAAGGGCTGTAAATAAAAATGCAAATATTGAATTTGAATTTATTCACTTTCTATTCAGGTATTAATAGGTCGGTCATGTGACTTTTTAGATGTGAGACCTGTTTACTGTGTTCAGGCTTACCCGCAGCTCTGTGGGGGGGGACAGAGAAGGGGGTCTTGACTTCCTGAAGAAGCACTGTTGAAGCCCAGAGAGCAAAAGAAAACACCTTAAGGTTTTAAAAAAAGATTTGTGCAGTAGTGTTTGTTACATCTTTTTTTCTGTTAATAACTGTGATGCAGTTTTGGTGAAATTTCTCGAGAAAAGAAATGAAGTCAAATCATTTGCGTGGAAAATATCATGAACAAATTAAAACAATGCAAAAGATGAATTAACACTTAGGGCAAGTATCTCAGTTGTAGACTTTATATTGCTGCTGGTTTTCAGAACCATGTTTTTATCATGATTAATATATAACAAAGGACATTGTCTTAAACATTAGTGGACACAATTATGAAATTGTCTATGATAGACTGGCAGACATCAGTCAACAGAATCATGTTGATTCAGATTCCATTTGTTCAATGCCTTATAGGAATTGTTCCTGAATTTTGTACAAGACATTTTTATTCCCCCAGAGAAGAAATCAAATGTTCTGAATGACTTTGCTGATTTTCTTACTTTATCATTGTTTTCATGAGCAGAATGACAGACAGTGTTGATGGTTGAATGTCTGGAAAACTTTAGAATACATGATCTGATGTCTCTAAAACTATCATGTTTTACTTTTGTCCATAGACCCATTTTATTTGTCCTCCACATGCTTAGTCAATAATTTATTTCTTATTCCTGCTCCCTCATCCACTCAGTCCAATTCAGTCTCATTACTACGGCAACATTAAGATGTCCGGCTTCGCTCTAACCTTCAATGTAAGCAAAGTGATGACAACGTTCAGTTAGTCGAGTCGGCCAGCAGATAGAAATGTTCCAACAAGACACTCAGACTAAAAATGTACAGAGGGGAAGATGCAGGAGACGAACTGCAGCTTGCTCTTAATGCCAAAAGGGGACACTGAATAGTGATTTCTTTGTACATGGTCAGGGCTTAAATGATTCAATACATTAATCAAGAAAGGAAATATTTTATTGAAAAAGGTGTACAACCTGATGAAACAAGCAAATAATGTTCCTTACAATACAAACAGAATCATTGCAGAACACAGTGGGTAACAACATGTCATTCTTGATTTGAAACAATGTGGATGTGAGGACCCAAGAACAATTAAAATATTCTGAAAATAAAACTTAAAATACATCATATTATCTTAAAACGAAAATATAATGAGCTTCATCTCATATCATGGCTGAATGGAAACTTAAATTCTAACAATGATGTAACTTCTTGAGCAAAATCAACATTCAACATATCAAGAACAAATGCAGAAAAAGTCTGTTAACTCACTATTCAACATACTGTATGTATCTTCAACAGGGTTTTAAATACATCAGAAAATCTTTTATGTGCTTATTTCAGTAGCATGTTTGACTTTTCTCAGGAACTCCTTTTTTAAAATCACTTTCATTCGTTCATTTATTTTGGCTCAAAATAAAAACGTCAAAAAGATCATTTCTCTTATATCACCACAATTTAAAGATAGCATTAAGTGTGTGAGAATAAGAGCTAATCCAGTAATAACTGCTAAGACAACAAAATAACTCTGCTCAAAAATTCAAGTGCATGGTCATTCAACAAAGACAACAAAACATCCAGAAGTCTTAAAACATGACTTAATAAAAACAAGCCAACTGTAAACTGCTTACACAGCGTTAACACATCAAAATGCACATTCAGCCTTTTTAAACTGAAATCTTCAACATATATACAAAACAACTGTGCTCTCCATCTTTAATAGAACCATTACAAAAGCAAACATTCAATCAGAACATGCAAGCACAAACCCCTCCCACCCCAAAAAATTCAGAAAAAAGTGCACAAGTCTAAAGATCTGAGCTTTAAAATCCAGTAAGATTAGTCACAGCTCAGTACAGAGAAAAACTTCCCTCTGACTCTCTGTGCCTTTGTCAGTCAAACACCAGGCAAATTGAAAATGATTTCTTTTCAAAAATGGATAATTATAATCGTTTTCAATGTCTAATGACAGCTTTTAAACTACCAACAGACTGTTCTCTTATTCAGACATTTTCTGTAGCACATTTAAGTTTTCTCAGAAACCTAATGCTTACACAAGTTTCATGTTTCTTCATTTGTTTAAATATTGCACACGACCATAGGATCTCTTTCCTGACAATTTATACTGTGAACAATATTTATCTTTAACAGAACATTTAAAAGCCTAGTGAAATACAACTATTTAAGTGTATGACTGACATGTATCACTTAGGTGTAAAACATGTCCATAATATAAAAAATATTAACTGTATGTTAGAGCCAAACTGAGATTTTTGTTTTCCTTTCATTTAATCTCTGTATGAAATGAAAGTAACACTGTGGCTGTTTTCAAAAGCGCATACTACATAATACTATCAAATGTAGTATGCCATTCTGCATATTATGTTCAGCAGTAGTATGTATGTAGTATGACTGCCAGTAAACAGCAGCCCAGCTCACGGTAAATGCTGCTACAGTGTAGCATCCACTTACAGTGTGAAAAAAAAAGAAAAGCTGACAATTCATAGATTTTCATGATTGTTTCATGATTATTTCCATTGTTGTGATGGCTGTTGCTGTCTGTCATTTCAGTCTCTGACATGTGAGTGTGTTTGTTCTTTTACAGTGCATTCGCTTCATAATGTTGAAAATTATACCACAACACATTTAAATACTCTAATGTGAAATAGATACAAGTACAGTAAGGTCAAATATATTATGTTACTTTGTGTGTAATAATAATATAAACTTCCTGCGGCCTCTTCTTTGGGAGGGGGTAATGTGGGGAGGGGGGGTATAGAGGGATCTGTTGATGGGACAGTAAGACAGGGACTCAACTATCAGTCAGTCAGACAGACAACTTTGTAGCTTCTTGTTTACTTCATTGATCTCATCCACCGTGACTGCCACTGCTTCTGCTGAGTCACTGTCCGGTTTCACAGATGTAAAAGGATTTCGTAATTAGACTGACAAATCCTCGAAACAAACGCCGGAACTTGAAGCACTATCTTCTGCTTTTCTATGTGGTCTGGTCACTTAATCAAACCACAAACAGATTGTTTATGTTGAGACAACTCATTAACAGACAGCACAGTTGGCCACTTTCACTCTCGTTAAAAGTCAATGTACAGTACTGACTGACGATCTATTGAGCATTACGGTGTGCAGTGTGAACTCAGCCAGAGAGCCAGAAAAAAATCCAACGCAACACAAAATCATTGTGACAACCCTGCTGGTTGCTTGTTTTGCTGGTTTTGTTCTTTGTGTTTCAGGGGCCAGTAGGTGTTGCTGGGTCGCAATGGATTTGAACACCTTGGACCGGTGCCCCCAATCCAAAGTGGTTCATAAGAGCACGACCCACTCCCTCATTGTTGAGAGAAAAGAGAAGGAGACACAGCTTCCCATTAACCACACTTCTCTTTTTCACATTTCCTTTTTACACACACATCAGAAGAACAATCATGCTTTCTTTTATATCTCATGTTTGAAAACTTAATCATTTATGTTTGAATGTTAATACAATGATGGCATGTATGCAGTCCTTGTTTCCTCATTTCACTTTGAGCTGGCCGTGAAATGTTCAGATCATTTTAAGTTTGGTCAAGTTTGTGTTTAAAAACCTCAGCCACAAGCATCCTGAATGAAACGGGGATTTTCTCTGAAAGCAGAGATCACCTCTAATTGCCTTAATATTCAGTCCCCTCATGTCTTGGTTACATGAATGTAATCAATCAGTCAATGTAAGCAAGGCCCCACATGACGAAATATTGTGTAAACTGAAGGATCTAATATGTTATGGTATCATTTTTTTGCTGTATGAAGTAACACATTAAAATCCTCTAAGTTTAATTGTTGAAGGACCCCAAAAAGACATACAACATGTCTGAAGTCACTATTTTAAATACTAACAAAAATAAATGTTGTTCCACATCTTTATGTTTCAGTGCTGAATTTATTTTGCCTGTTGAATGTATTGTAAAAAAAAAAAAAATCTCCCCCACAAGGGAGCCGATGAGACCATGCTATCACCCCTTACAAACAAACAAACCTCGGGGACACACTAAAGCCAGTGTTATGAAAATAATAACAGTACAGAAAAAAATATGTACAAATAAAAAGAAAATCCAAAGTATCATAAAACAGCACAGACAGAAAATGCTGCTTTGTTGTTGTTGTTTTTTTTTTTTTTTACAGCTTTTTGGCTTTAGAAATTGAACAATAGTATGATTTAGTGTGAAGTAGTCACACACATCACAATCAGTATAATATGACGTGACCCTGTGTGTAGGAGGAGCAGCGTTGGCTTGGATTGCAAATTTCACAAAACTGATTTTTAAAAGCTTTCAAGCATCAGCGCAAAACTTGAGCCTTTGAAATCCATTACACTTGCCTTTGTGTTGAAGCAAGAGCAGTCAATGTCAATGAAAAAAACAAAAAAAGGCCACAACACAAAAGTCAAAATGCTCTTGAACCTCTATAATAAATAATGATTTAAAAAAATGCTGCAGTATTTCTTCGCTGAAATTGAGCTTTGCTGTTGATTATTAAATTCACTGAATCCATGATAACTTTCCGCTGACATCGGTATTTCCACAAAGCCCAAGCAAACAAAAAGCAACTCCCAGATCGTTTGTTTCAAGTACAATTGCTGAATGACCTCCGGAATTGACAGGGTTGTCTAGATCCAGAGGCCGACTCACCCTTCATGAGTCACAGGAGTAGCGCAGCAGACCCACAGAGAGTTCATCTCCAGTTGTTGTAGGTGTAATGGCCCAAAAAGAGCAGGTTGGCAGTCAGGCTCGTCAAGAGAAGCCCCGGCCAGATAAGACGTTTAAAGAAACCTGTACATTTAAGAAGCAGAGGAAGCAGAAGTTATTTCATGAAAATAATCTTCATGCATCAACAAGGCTACATTAAGGTCTCCAATGTTATAGCACAGGTATATATAGATAAGACAACCTTATTCAAGCCCAGTGTGTTCTCACTGCATAGAGTGTCTATACCTCAGTCTACACTAAGCGGAATGTACATAAGTACATTTTTAATTACAAAAATGATGACTGAATTATATTCATAAAGGGAAATGCTTATACATTTTACAACACTGTCCTAGACAAAATCTAGACTTGACATGTTCCCTAAAGAAAAAAAAACAGATTACATTGTCATACCTATCCAGAGTTTTTGTAATGATACCAGAAAGTTGTCTCAGGCTTCGCCCATTTCTCTTGAAATGATGAAAGCGCCAACACAGAATCCTATTTTCACTTTCACTTTGACTGAGCTTCATAGACAACGAGTAAAAAACGGTCAGACTTGCAGAAGGACAACCATTGCTTCAGCACTCCATAAATCAGGACTTTATGGCACAGTGGCCAGATGTAGGACCGCTTAGAGTTCGAAAACAAATGACCATCAGATTGTGAGAGGCACGATTCTCTGGTCTGATGAAACCAGGGTCGAAAAACTTTCTTTAAAAAAAAAAAATACAATGCATCATGTCTTTTGAAAATCATTCATACCCTCAGTGAAAACTTGGTCCAGAGTGCTCAGGACCCTAAACTGAGCCAAGGGTTCACCTTCATCAGGAAAAAGATCCTCAGCTAGATTCAAAATGCAGAAGTGTCATAGGGTCAATTTTGTTAAAGACCTTTAGTGGCCAAGCTAGGGCCAGGATTTGAACCACATTTCAAGTCAAGTCAAGATTCACCCCCCCAAACTTGAGCACCTTGATCTGCAACAAAAAAACGCAAGGACATTTTCTCAATTGTTTCTCAATCTGCACATTTCAAACTTGATTCAAGAGGCTTTAAAAATATGTAGAGCAAATTAAACCCTCAATCTTTAGACTTGTTATTTGTTTACAAAAGAAAAACAAACCCCGGAAGAAATTATTTTACAATGGAAAAAAAAAGGGAAAATGAACTTAAAATGAGCAGAAGAAAAATGATCCATCTAAACAGATAAACCAGAAAACTCCCTCACTCCGCCATCCCCCTCCGCCATCACTTTACTTACCTCTCTCATTAGTGGTGCTCTCTGGCGTCTCTGTTGTAGTGTCAACCCCACATACTGACGACTCCGGGGAGCTGTCTTGCTTCACCTGCTCTTCTACCACAGTTCTAACCCATAACATTGAAGTCATATCTGGAAAAAAAAGGTAATAATTCAAATCAGCTGATCATAAGTTTAATTTTGAACATAAATCTTTTCTTTGTGTCTAGGGTTTGGCCATCTTGTGGTAGAATCATGAATGGCACTCAGGTCCATAGCAAGGTATGTTTGTGCAAAATCTTAAAAGCTTAATCTCCGCTGTGGTTACCATTTTGTCTCTGGAAGGATGGAGAAGCAGGTGGTGGAGACACAGGGGGAGACATCAGCGAGGGTTCTGGCTCTGTGGAGAAAAGCCGGAGACTCTGCCCACTGATGTTGAGGCGAGCAGGGCAGATGAGAGGGCGTCTTTGTCTGGCAGAACTTGAAGTGGATGTGACTGATCCAGCTACAGAAGGAGTAGGAGAGGGGCCCGGTGATGATGGGCGGCTACCCGACTTCAGTGAAAAGTAATCTGTATCAACGGAGCAACAAAATATGTTAATCAGGAGCTCTAGAAGACTTTTTAATGCATTGTTCATATCACACATCTGCAAAACTTAACTCCTGAAGATTTCACTATATTTTTAAGGTGAGCTTAACAGCCACATTTTTTCACCCTCACTTTACCAAGAATTCCACCAGCACCCGAGCAAAATTCCCAGGTGAAGTCAGGCTGAGCCGATGTGTGAACGCAACAAAATATTCAGGAGCAATGGAGCGGTTAATACTATTAACTTAACTTATTAACTATTAGATGTTAATACTATTAACTTAATAGTTAATTATTATTAACTATTAACTTAATAGTGTTAACATCTTACGACTAGTGTAAGGTAATGAAGGTTATGAATCTGCTCAATACTCTTTTCCGCTTGATATATGCGTTTTGTTTTTTAGGAAATTTTGAAGAGTGCAGGTGAAACAGGTTAATGGTAATAGAAGGTTCAGTGGACATCACAAAATGAAGTTATAATACCTGAAGACGGAGAATCTTGGCACGCTGATGTTGGTCTGCTTCCACTAAACAGGTAACCAGAATCTGAGAGGAAACATGAATACATAATATAGTGACATCATTAAACAATACTAACTGGGCTTTACTTTAAGCCTGCATTAGTCACTTTGCCAGAAACAAATTAATCCATTACATGAGGCCAGCTCCTGTTGACAATGTTTGGCATTAAAAAACAGAAGAAGCATGTGTTAGTGATAAGAGGTGGTGGTCACATAAACTTTACAAAATTCTGCCACCTTGTGGCAAAAACAATACAGTGCAGCAATGGGGCAATAAAGATTTGTTATATTGAATAATCTGCTCTTTATTTTCATGAGTTACTGTAATTATAAAAAAGGTCAGAATGGCCAAGGCAGCGTGTTCAACCAACATAAAAGTCAGGCTTCTATCACACATGACAGAGAAGCATCGAAGCCTCAGACCTGGGAGGTGAAACTGGGTTCAAAAGTATCCATCATTAAAATTGTTAATACATTAACCTACGGTTAATACATTTTTGTGGACACCTTTAACATAACATTTCAAACTTTAAGCTTTAATTTATGTAATAAGGCGACTGGACCTTCTACTGAGGCAATGGATTTATCTCAGAAAATTCAATCCAGATCCAGATGAGAACCTGCATTTATATAACAGTATACAGTAATTTGTAGTTTTAATGATATGTTTGAGACAAACTGTAACAGTGTCTTCATTATACTCTGACTATAAGAAGTGGCTTTATGTTAAAGAAATAAAGGAAAACATTTAAGCAAATGCTGAACAGTGTATTTAACTATAATTAGGACAGACTAATATACCTAAAATGTCCTTTCTTCAAAAATAAAAACAAGAGTCTTGACCAAATTTCTTCCAATCAGCAGAAACTGGGAAGAATTTTATCAACTATAAATCTCGTCTGTTTGCAAGGCAGAACCTGGCAAGACGCTGAAACTCAAGATTAAACTTGTCTGAGCAGCTGAATATCCCCATCTTACCCTGGGAGGGTAGTGACCAGCTACTAGGAGAAATAACTGTGAACATGTGCATGTCTCTGAAGTTAAGTTTGGACACAGCACTATTATCTTATCAAAGTGGTCCTCATCAGACAAATGCTTTTTTTCTGCCGACCTAATCCAAGTTCATTTGAATGTTACCTGTCCTGGTGAGGGAGCGGATTGTGCCGAGGCAGAGGGCTCTGCTGAGGCGGCCTGGCAGAGAGGAGGGGGAGGCCTTGCGCTCACGGGGAGTCTGTTGCTGTCGGTTGATGAGCATGGAGATGTTTGGGGGTGGGCTGGGGACGAAGGAGTCTGCCTGACCATTACAGAACAAAGGAGGGTGGCTGGTGAGGGGGGCCGAGGAGCTGCCTGAAAGGTATCTGTAACACAAAAGAAATGAGACTGTCTACAACTGGAAATTGAAATGACAAAATAACTACAAAGCTTTATGAAGACGAAACAACACATTTTAGTTTCAAGAATAAGTCAAAAGAGTGCTACAAGGACAGTGAATGACCTTCTGTCATTTATTCTTGAAAAAATAGCAGAATTGAATTTCTATCTGTTTCATAATGAAGTCAACAGAGCATTCTCAACATTATAATTGAAACCCCATTTTGTCCAAGTAGTGTCTAATGCCCGTTTTATGAGCTCTGGCAAGTGACAGCTGTCACTGAAATGCCGCTGCAGCTGTTGTGCAAAGTGCAGCAGCTGAAAGTTACTGACGAAAGAGAAGTGCTACAGTGCATTATTGTTCAACTCACTCACTTTCCACAACACAGTGACACAGACATGCTAAGTGTTGATGTAGTTTATCATCAGTAGCAACTAAGCCCTGTCTTCAAACAATCCAAAGAGATGACATTTCCCTAAATTTATGAAGGTGTGTAATACCATTTCAGGATGTAAAACAAGTCAAAATTATTTTTTTAAATCATACAGAGAAGGCTCATCCTTTCACAAGTTGTTTATTTCATTCAATGTACAGCAACAATTGCTACAAAGTCTCAAAATTGGCACCTGACATCATAAGAAAGGCACCAATTTCAGCATCAATCACACTGTTTTTTTGTTTTTTTTGTTGGCGTGTGTTGCAGGAAACCTTTGAGCATGGACGGAACTCGTTTGTCAGCCGCTACCGAAGGCTTTAATAGTTACGGATCAAATATACTTCATGAGCTTATAAATACTTAGGTAGCTTAGAATACAAAGTCAGTGCATAATCTTTAAAAAAAAAAAAAACACACGATTTGGCGCTGTAGCCTTAACATATGTTTTAAAATTTTGAATTAGTGTTTCTGCAACACACACATCACATCAACATGTATGTATGACACAATCACAAATGTTAGCTACATATTGGAAATCCATACATAGTAGAAAAAGAGTAGTAAAGACCAATACATTCATGGCTGCATCGTTAGAAAAGGTAGTTCTACAGCGGTCATCGTGTAAACCCTAAATACGTTTGTAGAAATGGTTTAATGCTGTAGTTTCATCTAGCAGCCAAAATGTATGATTCACAAGAACAAGTTATAAAGCAGTGCTGTGACAGCTTCACACAACTAAAGGCTAACCGTAGCATAGCTGATCGGGTAAATACAGTAAAGGGGTGCACAATATCGGGAAAAAGCTGCAATATCTTTTCTTTCTGTGATAAATATTGTGATAAGAAAAATACAGGACATCAAACCAGACAAATGCAGTGTGTTTTTTCTATGTACATATTAGACCCGCATGACGTTAGAAAAATTGTACGATGCGGGTGACGTCACTTGTTTAATATTTCTATCACAAAATGAAGTGCGGTAAATATAACATAGTCGGTTTTGATGTCTATCTGCTGTTCTTCGTGTCACTCCTGAAGTTTAAAAACCACTTAATGGGCAAAACTAATCTGAAGGTCGCTCAGTTAGCTTTGGCTTCATCTGCCTGCATCAACATAGTGTTGAAGCACAGCCATCATACCGGGGCTTCCATCCAACAGGTCAAACATGTATTTACTGAGTGAGGAATCATTTCTTCTTTAAATATCAGCTTTATATTTTTCTTTTCCTATGGGTTAAATGTGAATGCTGATATTGCTATAAAGCTGACACTGAAACGTATTGTGCAGCCCTAATGCAGTATATTCCTAAAACACACACTTAGACTAGATATTCTACATATATCAGAGGATACCAAACATGCAAACTGGAGATTTAATGCAAACAAACTCTTAACACAGTTTATCAAACGTTAGCAAAGAAGACGTTAAAAGAAACAACAAAAACCTTCAAATACATCATTGCTGAAACACTACCTTCTATTAAAGTATTTGTCAAACGTTTGAAATATTGATTTGATGCAGTTTATCAATGGTAAAAGGGAAGTGATTCTGGGGCCCCCTTCATATCAGTTATTAGCAAGTGCTCTGGGTGATCAGATGAAGTGTATCTGTGAATGCACTTAAGAGATTCTTTAGCTCTGACTGCTAGAATGTCATTGAGCTGGACTTAAACACATTTGGCCACAATTATTTAGTCGTGAATATGCAGATATGTCTTGGGTAATGATGAAAATAGTGCCTAGTCCCACAGTAAGGCTTTTATGGACAGACCACTTTCCTGTCATTCCTACCTGAAAATTCTCTATATTGGATAAGAAAGCTGAAGAGAGTCAGGAATTGTTGGGACAGGAGATTGGGGGATGACGTGCTGCAAAGGGCCGATGTTGGATTCAAACCCATGGCCGCTGCGACAAGGACTGGAGCCTCTGTTAATGAGGACGCACGACATGACCTCTAGAGTCTATACTATCTGATGTCCCAGACGCATCCTATTCTCAGGTGTTTTCTGACTTACTTAGATCTGTCCATCTGTGATCCAATCACCCAGGACAGATGTTAACTTGTAGTGTAAACAGACCCAGGTAAATATAGCTAAAGCATGATGAATATAAAATTAGCATGTGGCCGCTGCGACAAGGACTGGAGCCTCTGTTAATAGGACGCACGACATGACCTCTAGAGTCTATACTATCTGATGTCCCAGACGCATCCTATTCTCAGGTGTTTTCTGACTTACTTAGATCTGTCCATCTGTGATCCAATCACCCAGGACAGATGTTAACTTGTAGTGTAAACAGACCCAGGTAAATATAGCTAAAGCATGATGAATATAAAATTAGCATGATGAATATCATTTTACAATGTTATCACATTTTTTTAAACATAGGAGGATTGAAACTTCAAAGTACTCTTTATGTAACCATTATACATGTACAATGATTTCTCTTGACCTCCTGATGTCATGTTTTTGACTGTCAAAATGTCAAATCTAAAGCTAAGAGACTACTGGTTTGAGAACATGACTTCATCTACAGCACATCTTAACATGCAAAACAGACCCAACAGTCACTGCACTCTACCCAGCATACAACATCCAAAAACACTCTACTGCACATCTATTAGTTTCTAATAACTCTAAACACTACCATCACTTCATTAGAAATCACCTTTGTCCATTCCAACATAGTAAAAACAAATCATGTCAACAGAACGAACTCGTCTAGAGATGTGATGTTAGTGCATGCAGCTGGTCCAACAGTGTGTTTCATAAATCAACACATTAGACAGCCGGTTTAGGAAAGTTTAGTGTTACTAGATCAAGAGGAGCATTATGTGAGTGTTAGACACATCTGCGTTTGATATCTAAAACGATTATAAAAGAAACATAATTCAAACTAAAATGAACAAAACTATAAATGCAACACTTTTGTTTATGCTGCTATTTTTCTCGAGCTGAAACCAAAGATCTAAGACTATTTCTATGGACATAAGAGGACTATTCCTCTCAATTTTGAGCTCTCAGTTCAGATGTGTGTTAGTGAGCTCTTCTCCTTTGCTGAGATAATCCATCCACCTGACAGTTCTGTGGCATTTTAAAGATGCTGATCAGACAGCATGATTATTGCAAAGGCGTGCCTTAAGTTGGTCACCATAAAATGTCACTCAAAACGTGCACTTTTATCACACAGCAAACTGCGACCGACAAGTTTTGAGGGAGTGTGTAATCTGCATTCTGACTCAGGAATGTCCACCAGAGCTGTTGTCAGTTAATTGAATGTTTATATCGCCCCCATGAGCCATCTCAAATGTGGTTTCTCAGAATTTGGAAGTACATCCAACCGGCCTCACAACCTCAGATCACGTTTAACCACACCGTATCTGGCATCTTCACCTGCAAGATCGTCTCAGACCAGCCACCGGGCTGATGAAAGAACTGGTTTGCACAAGCAAAGAATCTCTGCACAAACTGTGCAGAAACCGTCTCAGGGAAGCTCATCTGCATGCTTGCTGTCATCTGTACATCTTTGGCAAATGGTAGGCCACACCAGATACTGAACATTTGAGAGGGATTGGCCTTTTGTGTACATAGAAAAATGCTTAGCTCTTTGATTTCAACTTGTAAGATATTGAAGCAAAAACAAAAACATTTGTGTTTATATTTTGGTTCTGTGTTCTAAATTGTTTGGACGAAAGATAACCTTTTAATTAGGACTTATCTGTAGACAGTGAACATCCTACTTTTCTAATACTGATGAGTGTGTAGTGGCTCGTTTAGATAAAAACCTACTATATGTTTGAATCTTACAGTTCTACATTACACCGGCCTGGTAGTCATCAAGAGACACCAGCTTTGATCAAGCAGACAGTAACATATGTATGTACATTCAGTGAATACTCAAAAAGGAGGAATGATCCCTTCAAATGGGAAGCTAGTACTGCTACTTTTGTTATCATTCATGCACAGCCTGCTCCGACTTCCACCTCACAAGGAAGTGTGGACAACAGGAATACAATGTAGAAATCCTTCCTTCATATTAACCCCTAACGCTCTTTCGTAAAGCGACTCGAGACGACAGTTGTTATGAATTTGCTCTAAACAAATAATGATTGATTGTTTGATATTCCTACGCTGTGGCTGTCGCTGTTAAATAATGCAATTCCAAAAATGTCAATAAATTCACAAATCGCACAGGCATGAGTTAAAACTCAACATGTCTTCAGAGGAGTCACGACCGCCTTTCAGAAAATATCTCAAGTAGTACTAGAAAAGAACGGGAGTGTTGCAGAGCCACATCTTGAAAACTGCTTGAAGGGTCTTCACAGATTAGTATTTCATGCAACAAGTAGATACACAAATCAATAAATAAGTACACTCAAAATAATTAAGATTTACACGGTCTACAAGAGGGTTAAGTAATAGTTTGGGACTTTAATGTTCAACTACCACTTCATCATTAGCTACCACTCAGTCAGTCACACATGTGTTTGGGTTAGTATGAAATACGCAATTCAATTAGTTATAGATTAAATGACAGGAACATTTTGGAGAAACATATCACAGTTTGTGAAATAAATTACTTTCTTTTCTTTAGGTTGTTCCTATTTGATCACAATATTCTTCGAAGACTAAAAAAGTTTAAAATTCTCAAACCCCAAAACACACTGGGTAACTGTAGGAGATGTGCATGTGTGCTTGAAGGTGAGTATTTGATGTACAGTATTTTAAAAGTAGGATTCGTGTTTTCTTATGATCACAGCTCACAGATACAGTCACGTGTTTTAGGTTTATCATTTATATGTCCAAACCTCATAGTCACTCACACATTAGTTTAGGGAGATGAGGCGTAAAAATGCTCAAATTGACACGTATAGATTCCTATGTTTTGATCTAGTTCTGATAAATAAAATTCTCTAAAAGAAAGAGAACCCTCTACAAAAGCCTGCATCTAAATACACATTGGAACATCATTGCTCATATTCTGACCTTCGATATCTGGCTCTTCTTGGACCAAGGGGCTTTCGAATTGCCACAGCGGCAGCAAAGCTGACAAGGCAACAGAGGGAGAGGATACTGAGCTTTGCAGTGTCCATCCAGCTTAAGGTACCAGTCACGTAGCTTTCAGCCAAGTAGAGGAGCAGAGTGAGGAACCAAAGGACTGAGGCCGCGGCGTCAATTCTCCTCAACCTGAAAACACAGCGACACATTCACTTTTAGTTTGTTTGTTTTCACAAAACCAAATCTCAAACTACACGGAGGTAATTACTCCTTACCTCACGGGTCCAGCTAAGAAGATAGTAGTAAGACAAGTCACTAGGCCGACAGAGACCACAGCTAGCTGGTTGTCTCGTCCGTGCTGCCACACGAGCCTGGCGCTTTCGATGGCTTTGTCCGGGAGAAGCTCCTTCACACTCTGCCACAAGGGAACACCTCCGCTGGTTTCATTAATGGAGGAGGACTTGTTAGAGGCTTTTGGCTTAGGAGGAATGATCCCACCACTTAGTGTCTGTGCAGCAGGTGAAGTAAGCTGGTCCGGGGATGCGTAGAAAGATGTAGCAAGGAGGAACCCACAAATAAGGAAGGTGAGGGCACGTAGCATCACGACCCCGAGGGGAGAGGACACAGAACAGGAGCTCTGTTGGAGACACATTTTTATTGGAAACTGTTAATTCAGTCAATATTGAAACCCCTGGACTACATAACACAGTACATAGAAGTGTATTACTTCTACCACAATGCCTTACTGCGTTTCATTTCAACATGATTCTTATTTACGCACACCGTTTGTTGGTCAGGTGTCTGCACTAACCTTTATGAACCCGTTGTCTGCATCTCGAGTGCGCCTCAGCTGATGATTTAGGAGCACAGTGCGAAGTTGTCGGTTCTGATATTTGATGTAGTACTCCACAGCTGTCTGACAAGGCCTGCATAACTTATAGGTCTGCTCAAGGTGATGCTTGTAGGCCTCAATTTCTTCATCATAGTTCTCCTACAAAAGATCAAATACAGTCCACTCAGTGTCCTACAGTTTCCAAACAGGTTAGTATAAAGATGGTGTCATAGTGAGTAGAAGAAAAAAAAACACTGTACAAACCTCGTCCCTTGGGATAAATGACGCCAGTTGCCTGATCTTTACTGACTGGTTGTTATTGCATTTCTTGCAGAGCAGCATCTGACAGTTGACCCATTGCTGTGTCTGGGGTGTCACAGATGAGGGGAGACTGCCACATACTCCATGGTTCAGATGTTCATTGTGCTGAGCTGGAATAGGTTTGTTGTAATCCCCATTCTAAAAAAAAAAAAAAAGATGAGACGATGATTAAATGGACACTTACAGTTTACAGCACATAAAAAAAATAAAAAAAATTGACATGTTAAAAGAATAAAACCACAGGCGTAATGTACTCACACTCTGGAAGCCATTGTACTGGTCACAGTTGGTACAGTCCCAGCAGTTCCTGTTACCATAAGGAACCACTGTGTTCTCATTGCAGAACCAGCAGTTCACGTTTGCATGTATCGGCTTCTTTCTGCAAGTAAGAAATCGTGAATTGCCATGACACAATTTAAAACGTGTTTATCATTCCTGAAGAGACGGCGTTTTCCCACAGAAGAATCGCATGTTGTCTTTGGGCTGGTTAAAAAAAAAAAGCTACCCACGTTTTGATATATTATTAATGACGATTAACTTTTATGTTGTATTGAGTTAAAAGACTGCAGGTGCTTGACGTGCAAAAGTTATTCCAATGTATGAAGGCATCGGCTCGACCAAACACGATGACTCCTTACAGCTATAATAAACTAATGTGTATGCAATGGCTGAATAATCAATATTTTTGTTAAGAATTCAAAAGGATAAACACACTAGTTATCGTCTTATTGATGCAACAACATGAAGTAAGTTAGCACATAAACGCTAACGCTGCTGGTAGCATAACAAAAACATTTGAAGGATAAATTAAATGCGTTGCTACATTTTTGTAGTCGGCATTATTTCTCGAATGACACAATTTTACCCACCGCTGTAAAAACTCAAACGCCGTCTGCTAACTTGTTCTTGCGAGCAGGTAGCTGTAAACAAACCGCCAAGTTACCTGGTGGCGAGTCTGTAGAGCAGCGTTCCTCCGGTGGCAATCGCCGTAACTCCGATCCCAGTGTACATTAGTTCAGGATACTCCAGTAAAAGCTGGTTAATCGCCTCCATTGTTGTAAAATTAGAAGCAGGTGAGATAGCAAAACATAGGAAAAGTATAACACGAGCGCTGCCGCGGAAAAACGGCGAAGAGCGCACGCGGCAAGCGATTGCCCTTTGTTAACGCCCATGCAACGGAAACGGAAGTGCGTCACGATTTGGACGCGTTCCGTTATGTTTTCAGCATTATTTAACGTCGTATTGCGCTTTAAGAAAACATTTTTTTACTCAATTTATATTGGAGACTTTGAATGTTTTATCATAAATGTAGAATAAGAAATAGATTTAAATTCAAAGGGAAACCAGACACAACTTGTAATTTGACTAATAGCACCGCTTAGTGTTGTGGAGATGGAGTATTTCAGTGTTGGAACGCAGGAGGGGGGACACTCGCTGTATCGGTTTCCCTCGCAAACAAGTGGTAGTTTACGGCTATGTTTATTACTGTGCACCAATCCCAGTAGATGTATGCTTTGAGGATAATCATCTCCTGCAACATGAGTTTATGCTGCTTTTTTATTTATTAAAATGACTATAACATGTTTGTCAAAGCACTTTGTTGCTGTTTATCAAAGCACTTTGTAAACCTGTGTTTTTAAAAGGTGCTATATAAATAAATAAAGTTATTATGTAATGTAAAAGAAAAGATTTACACATGACACTTCATTTTCGAGGATATTTATTTTAATTAGGCACTACTATTAAATCAAATACTCAAAGAATAAACTAGACTATATGAGATCGTTTTATGTAGCCTATAAATAGAGAAAAATCTTAGCAAAAACCTACCTCTTCCACTTTAACCAGGACAGCTGGGCTTAAATAGGTAGTCTAAACTAATAAAAGTTTACATTGCAATCAAAGTAGGCAGCTTATAAGAAATATGCTATAGACCTATAGGTTTTTTTCAACGTTGACACCCATAACAAATAGAGGATCAAGTCATTACTAATGCAAAAATAACACACATTTATTTAATTTTAGCCGATTCCACAAACATGATGTATTTCACATACAAACATTCAGAATCGAATAAGGAAACTAATCAGTGCTTCAGTATTGCATAGCAGTTTAGTAGAATTGAAAAATGCCAGAGAAAATTAATAAATAACACAGTAACAAATGGTCAGGCATTTATCAGAACAACAACAACAACAACAAAAATACAAAAAGCAAATGGGGGTTTGGAAACATATACAGGAATTCAACTCACACATTTATATGTCCATAACAAACTAACGACAGCCGAACTAAAACTGAAATACAAGAACTTTTCGTGAACTTGGCTGTCAAATGAATAACTCCAAACCTTACTGGTCAAATGATGAATGATGACATGTGAACTGCTGGCTGCAGGCCACTGACAGGCTGCTTCCCTCTGGACTCATCGGCTGGGTCACTCCGCCGTAGGTGCACACGTTTTGAGGGACCAGTACAGACGGGTGGTGATGGTAACCAGTGCCACCGTATGGAGGGTGGTAAAAGTTTGGGACCGTGCAATATGTCCCGTTGGGAGACACGCTGCGGGGATGCACAGGTGGGTATCGAGAGGGCTCGGAGCCGGGAATGCACAGACCCCAGGTGCCGCTCACAAAAGGTTCTAGGTAGAGAGGTTTGGACAAGTCCACGGGGTTCCCGGTCAAGTAAGGAACGGTGGATGGTCTGTAGGGTCTCCTCACCCTCCTCCGCCGCCGGTAGTTCCCCTTCTCAAACATGTCCTCAAATGCGGGGTCCAGCATCCAAAAGTTGCCCTTCTTGTCAGCCCCAATCTCCCGGGGGACTTTGATAAAGCACTCATTGAGAGACAGATTGTGTCGTATGCTATTTTGCCAACCTTTTTTGTTCTTCTCATAGTAGGGAAAGTTGGAGATGATGAAGTCGTATATTCCGCCCAGCGTTTGTCTCTTGTCCGTAGAGTCTTCTATTGCCATAGCGATGAGAGCCACGTATGAATAGGGTGGTTTCGCCCACTGGCTTGACACCTCCTCCGCACCTCGGGGCTCAGGAGAGGGCGAGTTGGAGCTGATGTCCAGGAGCTGCACTCCCCGGTCGTCAGATGAATCCATTTTTGCATCCATTGCGCTGGCTCAGTCTGGCTTCTGCTTGCGCGTCTGGCTTATGCAATTAAGTTGCGATCTGCTGCTAAAAGCAAGGCATCGACTGTGACTGTGTCTGCAGGTGCACAAGCTCCTCCCACAGGTAGGAGCTGCAGCTGACATCTGCTTCTTTCATCTCGCATTGTTCATACGTTGTTTATATATACTGTATCGGGCTACTGCACTGTCTGTTTAGATTAAGACAGGGGTCATAGGGTTGTGTTCTCAGGAATCCCACGCTGGAGCAAGAGGATCAAAGACTTAGTGAATTGTGATTGAAGTTCAATGTCACGCCAGTTTTGTAGAGGTTAATAAGTGCACCAGGTGAACCACTAGCAGTCTTTTAAAGTAGTTCTGTTCAGTAGGCTATGAAAAGTGATAATGCATTCAAAACGATAATTTGATGTTCTACAAGGCTTCCACTTGAAGGAAAATCACTCCAAACGTAAATTCCCAAAATGTTTTTGTTGGTAATAATAAATGAAATGTATGTAGGACTATATTTTGTCACCAGTTATTTATCACAATTCCAGATATGGAATGGCTCTCCAAAGGGCTCACACGCGCAGATTACATGCACCCGGTCTGCCACAGGGAAATCACGGATTGAGGCCTGTGTCAGGGTCCAGCATACCACCCACATACAGTGAGGCATGAAAAGCAAGTCTGTTTTTCTCCTGAGGGTGACAGATAATGATCACCTGCTCTTACCAGACAGTGTGTCTCTCCTGAACTGAGAGTAAAACACAGATCTCAAATAGTGAGCACCCAGTTGAAAAGCAACAATAGCATATTCCTTGGTAAAGATGACAGGGCATTGGTTGGCTCTTGTTATCACTCAATGTCAATTTTATATATTTCTTTAATGATATCTTGGTTATGAGACCTACGCTGAGTTGCTGACCTGAAAAAGCAATGAATAAATAAATAATAATACACAATAGCGTACATCTGGAGTTTTCTGTTTGCTATGATGGTCACCCTGCACTGTTAGCTATTTGACATGCATATCTGTGCATAAAAAAATGGAATTATGAAGAGTTCAAATAATCCCAGGATGTTTGTTTTAATAATCTGGATTTTAAAGGCAACATTGGTTCAACGCAAGAAGGAGACTGCTGGTTAATTTCATGACTCTAATCATGAAATGAATCCTCACTCACGGCCAAAATTGAATGAAATTGAACATTTCTCAGTTTTTAACAACTTGCAAAATGACAAAAGGAAAACTGAACAGCAATCTATTTTCTCTGAAAGAGAGAACATTTACCTCTTAACGGGCTAAGTTGGGCATCAGGCTCAACAAAAACAGCCCCAAAAATCAGGAATGCTGAGTAAAGGCAGGACAAGAAATAAAGAGTTACAGACAAACTTTCTCAAATGGCTCATACATCTAATCAAACCATAAAAAAAGAGTTTCAATTTGTATTAGAGGAGTATATAGTCATGTTATCAAGTGCTACTTAACCGTAACACGAATACTTTATTTTAGCTGAAGGTGTTCATAATTATTTATTTTAAATCATATGGAATAGTTCCTCTCTCTCCATTCAAACAAATTATAAGTCCTTGAAGCTTATATTTATCTAAAAAATATATGTTTTGATATTTGGGGTTTAAAGTTATCCATATTCATTAATAAATGAGCATTTGTGTATAAGTATACTAAACAGTGTCCTACACAGACATTGGTATTACATCAGTGTTATCTTTTTCCATCATGACTCAGAGACATTGCATAAATCTTTTATCCTTTGTGTTCATCTTTCTATGTTTAAACATTTTTGTAATATTTTTCTCCAATTGTTTTTCAATTTCTTTATTGATTTTTTCATTTTTACTGAGGACCAGTATTGTTCCAAAACTGGACATGAGTTTAATATAAGGGTGTGGTCGGCTTTGTTTTCTCCACAGTTATGTCAACAGCTTGATGGAATATTGTGGTTGTTTGTTTTTTATTGGATGATCGGTGTTGTGAATAATCTTATTTGAAGTTTCCAGGTGAACACCCCCCCCCCCAAAAAAAAAGAAGAAATATGTCGCTGTCCAGGTATTACTTTTAATATGTTAATATGTAATACATTTTCCAAATTCGTCACTGGTACACAGGTCTTTCTGGAGTTGTTTTGTTATTTTTTTATTTTATCCAGCATCTTCATGGACTGCTAACACAGATATGATCGTTTTTTTTGATCAGCAGCAAGTTACTTTGGTAAAAGTAAAAGAGAGAAAAAAAAAAGAGAGCTATGGCAAACAGACCAGAGCTTCCTATTGTATGGGTAAATTAAATGTTATCAAAATATCTGTGAATTATATTTTTAGAAAGTGCACTTGGGCTCAAAGACAAAAAAAAAACAACAACAATAAATGTAAATAAGACTGATGTGATTTTTTTCAAATAAGAACTGCAACAAAATCAGCTTCTCATATGATGTTTGATGTGCTGAATATTTGCAAAAAGTCATTTGTTGTGTTTTTGTTTCTAAGTAGGATCATTACAA